CACCCCTCCGCCAACCGAATATAAGCCCCCCGGGGGGGGCTTGTAATTGGAAATTGCCCTAAAACAAAGCAAAAACGGTAAATTTCCTTCCAACTAAAAGGCTAGCCCAATCGATTTTGAAAAGTAATTTTCCCTCCGTAGATAAGCCCCGCCGAATATAAGCCCCTCCAAAAATAAGCCCCTCAAAAAGGGGCTTTGAAAAATATAAGCCCCGGGGCTTATTTTCGGAATTTTACAGTATTCTTTTCAACTGTTCTGCCTTGGGAATTTATTTATCCAAAACGTAGCAATTTTTCAACTTCAAAACGAGGCTTTGTGGTGAAATTTGTTCGTCTGACGTAAACATGCATAAGGGTCATTGGCCATTTGTGAGGGTACGTTTCCGTTTTGATTTCATATTTATTTTGCCTTCTCTTTTAAGGTGGGCTGTTTATGTAAAGAAAAATAGAAGCTTTACTCTGGAACTTCTTCCATTAAACGCCGCGCCCAGAGACAACCTTTTCGAGTTGTGCAGCAGCAACTTTGACGAAGAGGGAAACAAGGGCCTGGAGCACATCTTAACTGAAGTCTTGCTTTTTCCACCAATACACATATACTCCCCCTTTGTCTGGAAATACTTCAGATAATTGCGCGAGAGTGACGGGGTAGTTCTTGCTAGACAGACAGCCAGCTAGCCAGCGTTGAACTACGTTATATTTATAACGGATAATTTAAATAGTTAAATACAAAAAGTACATTAAGTGAGCAAGAGCTGATGGGACAAAACTGTCCTGTCGCTCATCAAGGTTATTCGCTTTTAAGTTTTATCGCGTTTTTTAACCTCCCTTTTTAAATATAGGCTACCTTTTCTGGAGTTTAGTTCAGAGTTACAGCCCTATCAAGTTTATACAAAGAAAGAAAAATTCGAAGTTGGACGTCTGAGTGGCAATAGGAAGTTTCATTTCGTAGTCGTGCTGTGACGGCAAGGAAATGTACTAAAAGGTGACTTGTACGTGCAGAGTTGTTGTTTTGCTTACTTAATTATTTTTTGATTTTGACGTTCTTGTTGCCGTTGTTGTTGCTTAACTGACCCTTCTCCAATCCACCAATCCTCGGTTCTTTCTCGCTAAAGATAAAAATAATATATGAGTAAAAAGAATGTCAGAACTTAATAGGTACCATTGTTTGTAATAGTCAAGAGTGTTGATAAAACACAGTTACGTTTTTAAACTAAAGAAGAATATTATTTATAATATAAACAAGTTGTAATTGNATCTGTTGTTTTCTAAACCAATCCTGTGAGCCGTTCTTAGAGCCTCCGGCCCACCCAAAACCTAAATTGATCCGGTTACAACAATGAACCTTTGATTTAAAGAGTTTGTGATGTGTGAGTTCCTCTCCGCTTCCACATGTTTTACTTTACAGACCGTAAAAGGCCATGCACATATATAGATTTAGCCAGTGCTAAAAGCGAAGCTCCTTTTAATATTTATAGTTTACCCTAAGAAAATATAAAATCTGGTTATACTAAGGAGTCGGTAAAGACAACGTGATAGGTAAAAAACAACATCAATAGGTCTGATTAGAAAAAAAACAGCTTTGCACGTGCAGCACACTTTTTTTGTACATTTCCTTGCTGTTGTTTTGCACGACTAAAACGTGAAACTTCCAGAAACTTCCTAGTTACACGTTTTATGTTTGTGTTCCTGTTCACTTTGGTTTTTCACTGCCGCTCATTTTCGCCTTGGTAGCCTCTAGCATGTCTCATTTTCTCACCACTGCTATAAAATTTTCAAGTTTTATTTTCCAACGAAATTGGTCTCCGTTGTTTTTTTATTTCTCGTTCTAGTGCTGCTCTAGTTCTTTCCCTGTTATCCACGTTAATGTAGACATTAAAATTTAGTCCTAAGAAAGACTTGGCTTTTTCTAAAAGTCTGGGCGGCCATGCGATTTGTATAGGTAATAGCATGATTAGTAGTGACATTTGGCATAAATACCACGAGTGATATTTCAAAATCGTTATACGTAATTTCACGAGCCGTTAGGCGATTGAAATTTGAGACAATTTTGAGATATCACGAGTGGTATTTATGCCAAATATCACGTACAAATCATGCTATTATTTGTTTATACTACTACCCGCAAAAGGTTGTAATTTTCACATGTAGGTATTTCAAATTAAGCTGAAATACCACTGCTCTAAGCCAATCAAATTGCAGAAATTTCTCATGTAGTAGTATAAACCGCCGAAACGCGCGGGGTGCTTGAATTGTAAAATTTCACCTCAGCTTACATGAACGGGCGGACGTACGGTCGGAGAGACGGACGATTACGTCATAACCAAAATTTCTTGCATGCATAGATAACCAAATTTTCTTACCCATGGTGCTCCGCCGCGCTCTTCGCGCGCGAGAGAGCTCCGCTAGGATGGCTTATCATCTGTCCTTGTAGTACTGAAATGACACTTAACCTCTCATCTTATTTGACAACTTTCTGTTAGCAACAGTTTTTGTTACCACTAAATTCAACCCGGGGCACCTCTGTAAATTTTGATTGTACACTCAGGTTTTTGCAGCCTGCGCCACAGATGAAACTCTGTGAAACAGAGCCGAAATCCTTGTCCTGTGTAGGATTTGAGTACGCGTTCTTTTTGCGTTCTACCTTTACCCTCTGTTGCTTCAGGGAGAGATACAGATGATATGCTTTCATAAACGTTGATGAAACAGGTCAAAAAGGACTTACCTTCCTGTTTTTCTGTTTCTTTTGTTTTTGTTGGTCTAAGGAATTCGTCAGCGAAAAAAATTCATCACGTAGCTGATGTGGTTACCTTCCTTGCATCTGACAGAAGCAGTTATATCACGGGCGCAAGCATTGAAGTTACAGGTACGGTTTATATGTCAATAGAGACCCTAATTCAGAGTCGATGTTTTTCGGAGTTCCCGCAAACCGCGAAAGTCAACAAGTCACGTGACTAGTGCCTTGCCGTCTGCTTTGCGGTTTGAAGTTCACGTTTGTATGGCTAGACAAGGTTGTTGATATAAGTGAAGTATCACAAGGTCTTTTGTGACCTATAACATCACAAGCCCACGTTTGAGAGGACATAGTGCCTCTTAGAACTTTTTTGCTTATTAATCATCGAGTTCTTTTTCATCGAAACGTAATTTTGCAGGACGATTTTTTAGCTAAAACAGACTTCAACGAATGAATGAAAACTTAAGTTCCAAATATGGGCAGACAGCTAAAGTAAAACCGCTAACTGCAAACCGCGGTTTGCCGTTTGCGGTAAGATGGCCAAACCTCGATCTTGTAAGATCTCTAATAAGACAAACTAAAAACGCAAAAAGGGCCTGCATTTTGGCAATAGACCATCTGCGATTTCCAAAAAGTTTCCCTTTCAAAACGAGGCTCAGTGCAAAACCTTCCTTGTGGAAAAGGAGTTTTATTTCCACGAGAGTGCATATCAATAGCTTTGCACTTAGCCTCGCTTTGAAACTGAGGCTTCGGACAACTTGGATTGGCCCTTATGCATGATTACGTCAGATGAGCAAATGTTACCACCAAGCCTCGTTTGTAAGCAAAACTCTTCGCATTTGCA